CAGGGTACACGTGCGTTACTCGAATGTGTATCATTCTCTCACTATATAGTTCATAACTGTATCATCACAATGTGATTCACACTTGAGCTAATCCGTTGAGGTTACGTAATTGAAGGGCTCTTCATTAAGAGAAATCAATTGCAAGGGCATATAGTATCATTATGATTGGATAAGTGGTTATGTACGCTATCGACTTAAAAATGCGGCAGTGAAAGATGACGTGATCTTTGTCTAATATATTCATTTTAAAAAAATTTAGGAACTCAATGACAAGTCGCAACCCGATGATGGATCTAAAGGAATTCCATCATTTTGGCTCAATGTGTTGAAAGGGTCTGATATGACTCAAGATATGATCCAAGATCACGATGAGCCCATCTTGAAACATTTGACCGATATTACCACCTCTATCGAAGTAGATCCTCATGTAAGTTTCTTCACTGTTGAATATTAAGGAAGCTTTTACTCTCTTTAAATAAGTTTCGATAGATTTCCTTACAGGGTTTCACTATCTATTTTCACTTCTCTCCCAATGAGTACTTTACAAATGCAGTGTTGAAAAAGCAGTATTTCTTGGAGATTAAGCCTGATGCCGAGGATCCATTCGGTTTTGATGGGCCATCTGTTGTGCGTGCTGTTGGGTGAGTTTGTTTATCCTTGGAGTGCCTGTTAAGCACGTGATGAGCTGTTTGCAGTGATACAATCCAATGGAATGAAGGCAAAAATATTACTAAAAAGGTTGTGAAGAAGAAGCTGAAGAAGGGCGCTAATGCTGGAAAGTTCATCACAAAGACTGTGAGTGTCGTTCTATTAGAGTTAATTGTGATTGGGAAAGTTACTCAAAGTGACTTGTTTAGGTCAAAGCTGATAGTTTCTTCAACTTCTTTGATACCATTGTACCTCCCACCGAAGACCATAAGAACGAGGATGATGAGGAGGATGTAAGTTTTCTTTCCTTGCTTTATTGCCTGACTGGTTGCACTTAGTTGTTAGCTTCTGCTTTCCCTTTTATCCTGCTGGAGTTTTTGGAAGCAGACTTTAATTGCATTTCTAAGTCTTGGAAGTAGAGAGCATCGATCGACACGAAGTCAGATTATCTTCCTCGTGCGCGCAGAATTCGGAATTCCAACCTTGTTTTGAATTCTTCCCTGCATTCGCACAAAATCAATGTCGGGTATGCAACCAGTTGTTGCTATATTGGAGCAATCGCTGTACTAAAGCCTGACTACATGCTGCTCACCAAATATTCTGCGGTCTTTACGACGTGATCAACATCATTAAGGGGAGCGGTTCATAATCATCATTTGACTAAGCATCACATGTAGGTGATGAACACAAGGAAAATGCTATTAGTTTGTCAGTCGACTTTTATTGTTAGCTAGAAGCTCTAGAAAGTGTATTGCTTTTCGTTTTTGAAAACAGTTTCAGCTAGAGCGATTTTTTTCAAAGAAATCTAGCTATTCAGGACTCGCACGAGCTGATGCGAGCGGACTTCGAAATCGGTCAGGTGCTTCGTGACAACATCATCCCTCGTGCTGTTCTTTTCTATACGGGAGAGGCTGACTTTGGCGATGACATGTTCGATCTCGGCGAGGTAAGAAACAGGCTATGCTTAATGTCATATCTATTGATATAATGTTTCAGGACGCGGATGACGAAGAAGAGGAAGAAGATGATGAAGATGACGAGTAGGCTGTGTGATCAATCAATGATAGCTTCTAAGCATAACATCGCTAGATCTGATTGATCGTCATCGCCATTGTTTTTGTTGATTGTTATTCGTGCCCTGTTTCCCAGTTGGCCTTTAAACGTGTAGATCATAATTGATTCCATGTTTATCCATGTTTTGCTTCCCGATGTCTACTGTTTTTTGTTAGATTTTCTCTATAAATTACGTCTATGTTTAAGTGTTTATGATGACAGGAGTATGGCTTCCTTATCTATAAATGCTGTGCTACAAGCAAATAGCTTGCTGTTTATTGTCGTGATGTTTATCGCGTAATGGGGGATTAGTTCGGAGCAGCATAGGAAAATTCACAGTTAGGTCAATACTTGTTTATTGCTACGCCTCTACAGAAATGGTATATGAATCTTCCAATTATCTGAAGGATCTAGCGTTGATGAGATTGAGGCTTCAAGAAGGTTCAGTCCTGGCTTTCGAAGATTTGCAAAGGTTAATGGACATTGTCGGAAGCTGTTATGTCATCCCTGACAATGTCTTTCGTCACTCGTTAATTCTGGCTGTAGAGACTGTTTGTCGCCGAATTTGGCAGGTTGCGCAGTCTTTGACGCCAACTTTAGATGAGGAGCATCGTAAATTTACTACTATAGTACTTCAGAAGTTCGGCGAAAATCTGAGGATTATGCAATTTGAGGGTGAGTTGAGAATGGCTTTTTTCAAGCTTTGAAGTTCTAATCTCAGTTGTGGTTGCGTGTTGTAGTCAGCGGGAATTAACAGGCTTTTTTCTTTTGTTTTTTTCCATTGTCCCTCGTAATCTGTTTACATCTGCAGTTGCAGGCTCGTACTTTGTTTGCACACAGCAATTGCTGCCTATTATCCCAACCTACATATCGCATCCATCTTTATCGCGATATATTTACATTTAATAGCATTATCTACAATCAGCAAAACTTTAAGAAAAGCAAGTAAAATTAAGGCCGAGTCTGCTGCATCATATGAGATCTATCTCCCTCCTTCTTCCTTTCTCTTTTCTCCCCCGTCGCGCTGCCTACGCTACGGGTAGAGTTGTTGTGCTCGCAGACGATGTGCAGTACTTCCATAACGCGCGCGTCTTTCTTGTTCTTTTTCATAGAAGCTGATCGATTGCGGAATTGGCGCGTGTGCAAAGCTTTAGTCCTGCTAAATGATATTTTT